TAGAAGGTAATCCATCTTTGTCTTTGGTTCTGGGTAGAACTTTCATGTTAGCTTCAAGATCTGGTGATGTTTGTGTGAGGAGCTGCGGTTTTCTATTCATGGTTGCGATTTGTTGTTGCTGATTTCTGATGAATATGATGTTATGCCCTTGTTCTTGGATCCTTTATCATGGTTTGGTCTATCAGGATGACCTGCACATGAGGATTTTTTGCTGCAACAAGCGCTAACTTTTTGGATTGTTGCAGCAGTGTCGCCAAATGCGTTGCTCGATCGCATAAGGCTTTGGTTTGTTTGATCTTCTATTTTGCTGGCTGTTTGAGTATGTATAACTTGCAGCATGTATGGAAAACTAGCGTGGGAAACTCGACAGGGTTTAGCCCTCATAGTTATGCATAGCGGCTGCCCTTTATTGTCTCCATATTTCTTCCTCCCACTTTTTCATTTGCTCAAGTAGCAGCTTTCGTCTCTCTGGGAAGCTTTATAGATATTGCTCAAGAATTTTTGTTTTGGAGTCTCTGGTTTGGTTTATAATGGAGCGAGACTTTAATTGCTGTTTTCCTTTTCATGATGCAAAGCATGTGCGAGTGTTAGTTAATTAAGTGAGCTTCTGTAGATAAACCCAGAATGGGCAGAAATCTTTGCATGAGCTAAAAATTTGCAAACTTTCCTTATGCTGGTTTTTGTTCTCTTGTATGTAATGGGGTAAGCGTATGAGCTTAATAAGAACTTGGGTTTGGTTCTGGTTTGAGTTTGGTGTTAAATAGTTGCCGTGCATGTAATTGCTGAAATCTCAAAGTGCGGTAAAAAGTTTGCAGAAATTTTCAGATTTCGCATGCCTTTTTTCCTATGAAATTTTCAGTTTTTAGGGTCACAAAGTGGAGAGAATGCTTGGTGAATTTGTTACTTTGGCCCAAGTTGTTGTTGGTTGAGTCATTAGCAATGTTTAGATGGAAAAGATTGCATTCAAAAACCCAGAAATTGCAGCTCAAGAAACCAGCGAAAGAAAAGGAAGTTCCTGCTAAGAAGATGCATGAACTGAAACCTTTTTGCCGCTGGTTTGCTGAGCTTGTTCCACAGCTTTATCATGTGTGTTCTTTGTTGATTCTCTTGCCATTGTTTCCTTTTTTTTCCTGTCTTGGTATCTTGGGCGTTAGTTTTTGAAATAAAAAGCATCAGCTGCATAATTTGGCTTGGATTTCATTTCCTTTCAGTTTGTACTCGGGTAGAACCAATCTTGGAGAGTTGTAGAAGAATTGTTGCGAAAGATTTGCTTGCTTGAATGTCGAATTTCTGTGGTTTTGAGGTTTGAGATCTGCAGAGGCCCTGTTCTGGCCCTAAACACGTGGCAGCCCAGACGGGGCCGAGCTGGGCCTCGGCCTCAGGTCCCTGGCAGCAGCCCTGGGCCGCCCTGTTAGGGCTCGTAAAGGAGGCAAGAGTCCGTCCCGAGGAGGTCGGGGATAATCCCCCTGAGTGCGGGATGCTGGCTATTCCGGGCAAGTCCCGAAACGTATGGAAGCCGGACTCCCTCGACAGGTATAAGTACCAGCGGACATCAACTGTACAAGGTACGCTCACTATTGGCAATTTACTCCGAACTGTCACTACTTCCCGTGAACCTTACTCACCGGAAAACTAACTTGACCGTCGGAGTGCCCCCGGGGACCACCCTCGGGCCCTCCTCTGTCAGCTCGTTCTTATCTGTTTTGCAAGCTTAGGACCAGCTCTTCCATCAGCACACCGAGCTCGTCAGTTCGGCTCAATCCGGGGAAGCTCAGCGCTTCTTCAGTTGGCGCCGTCTGTGGGAACCGTAAGGTAAGTAAGATTGTGTTGATGGCCAGGACGCGATCCAAGCGTACGATAGAGAGCACCGGCCTTGGGGGCGGTGAGGGGTCCCCGCGGAAGGAGGCTGAGGCGTCTCAGGGAGCCGGGGGCTCAGCCCTCTCAGGGGAACGGAGGAAGCAGATCTTCCAGTTCGTGACGGAGAATCTCCCCATGCTGGAGGATATGATTCGACAGGCGAAGGAGGGAGATGGGGCTGGGGGTGCGCAGACTTCCAAGGCCAAGGGGAAGGAGAAAGAGTTACCCCCTGACCCTTCGGAGGATGAGTCCCGAGACCAGCCCCCTAGAAGGAAACGACCACGAACTCCACCTCGCCCGCGAGCCTCGGTGGTCGGAGACAGCGAGAGGTATTCCCGCGACCGGTCCGCGAGGAGCCGTCCGAGAGACCCCTCCTCACGGAAGCCGGCACGGAATGGATTCGAGCGTTCCCCTGCTCGGTCTGTCAAGAGCCAGCCCCGCGACCCCCATTATCTGGAACCTGCCCGGGATGAGTTCGAGCAGATCTTGAGGCCCCGGCCGTACGAGAACAACTATGCAACCTCGCCCTTTATCCGGTAGATAGAGGACTACCCGCTACCCCGGAGGTTTAAGATTCCGAGCATCGAGATGTACGATGCCTCTACAGACCCGGAAGATCATCTCTCGGTCTTCCTGACGAACATGCGTCTGCAAACTGCTGCGGACGAGGTCCGCTGCAAAACTTTTCCTATTTCCTGAAAGGAAAAGCACGGCTCTGGTTCCAGGGGTTGAGGCCAGGTTCTATACGGAGTTTTCCCGAGCTGGCTCGGCAGTTCGCAGCCCAGTTCGTCTCCTCGAAGACCTACGCGAAGAACGCGACCCACCTGATGTCCATCAGGCAGAGGTCTGACGAGTCTTTGAGGAATTTTATGACCCGCTTCAACGCGGAGAGCTTGCAGGTCAGGGACAAGGACGAAAAAGTGGTAATGGCCGCCTTCACAAACGGGCTCAGGGTAGAAGAGCTCTTCTACGATCTGGCCAAGAAGCCTCCCGTAAACCTGGAGGAACTTCTGCGCAGGGCGCACGAGCCTGCTAATGCGGAGGAGGCAGGTCGCCTGAAGAAGGAATCAGATCGGGAGCTCGGAGATCGAAAGGGTCGGACAAACCCCCACGAAGGCAAGGACGTCCCGGCCAAGAAAAACGTCTTCGATCGGCTCTCGAAGGAGAAGGTCCCTGCTCCGCCACCACTCCCAGAGAAGACCTACACTCCTCTGACACGGCCCAGAGCCCAGATTTTAGCTGTTATGGAGGCCGAAGGGCTGGGAGATCGGCCGCCCAAGATGGGGACGCCCCGGAACAAAAGGAACCAGGACCGATACTGCGTCTTCCACCGCGATGTCGAACACGACACGGAGGGGTGCTGGGCCCTGCGTAAGGAGATCGAGGACCTGATCCAGCGCGGCTTCCTAGGTCGGTTCGTGCGCCGACCAGGTCAGGAGCCCGGGCGCAACCGCTACGGAGACAGGCGCAAGGGACAGCGTCGCGGCCGCCCAGAGCGGCGTGACGCTCCTCGGGACCACTCCCCCATCCTGGACGCCCAAAACCTAGCGGGGGTGATAAACACCATCGCTGGGGGCCCCACGGGCGGGGACAGCCACATAGCTCGGAAAAACAGGCGAGCTCCGCCCGAGGGGGATGACTCCTTGAAACGCTTGCGTATGGACGAGGAGATCACCTTTGGACCTAGAGATGCGGTCCCCCTGGCGTCCGGGAACCATGAGGCCATCGTAATCGACGTGGTCACCAACAACTACCGGGTGAAGAAGGTGTATGTCGACCAAGGTAGAGCGGTGGACATTATGTTTTATCGGGTGTTCAAGGAGCTCGGGTTGAAGGACGACCAGTTGACCCCGGTTCGGACACCTCTGGTAGGCTTCACCGGACCGCCCATTAACCCGGAGGGAATGATCACCCTGATGGTCACGGTAGGTCAAGCCCCCAAGTGCCGGACCATCCCTGTCAGTTTCGTGGTGGTCAAGCGGCAATCTTCGTATAACATGTTCCTGGGTCGGCCAGCTCTGAACGCGCTCCGAGCTATTCCGTCCACCCTCTATCTCAGTATGAAGTTCCCCACTCCAGGAGGGATAGCCGAGGTACATGGTGATCCAGAGGTGGCCAGAACTTGCTACTTGGCCACGCTCCGGGGGCCGGAGAAGGTGGTCGCCCAGACGACCTATTTGGAGCCCTACATCCCGGGGGACGAGGCCCGGCAGCTGAGCACCCAGGACGAAGTTGAAGAATTCCCCTTGAGGGAGGAGCGGCCCGACCAGGTCATTCGCGTCGGGGCATTGCTGCCAGCCGAGCAGAAGGAGGGTCTGAAGGCCCTATTGAGGGAGTACTCCGAGGTCTTCGCGTGGACGGTGGAGGACATGCCTGGGATCCCTACAGGCCTGGCAGTCCACCACCTCGACGTGGACCCTCACTTCAAGCCAGTGAAGCAGAAGAAAAGGAGCTTTGCCCCCGAAAGGAATGAGGTGATCAAGACGGAGGTAGGCAAGTTGCTGGAGTCCAAGATCATCCTGGAGATCTACTACCCGACCTGGCTGGCCAATCCCGTCCTGGTCAAGAAGGAGGACCAGACCTGGAGGATGTGCGTAGATTTCACGGACCTTAACAAAGCCTGCCCGAAAGACTGTTTTCCCCTGCCAAGGATTGACAGGTTAGTAGACTCTACCGTGGGTTTTGACGTTTTATGCTTTCGGGATGCTTTTAAGGGATACCATCAGATCGAGATGGCTGAGGAGGACCGCGATAAGACCTCCTTCATCACCGAGGAAGGAACCTACTGTTATAGGACCATGCCGTTCGGATTGAAGAACGCGAGAGCTACTTACCAGCGCGTGGTCAACAAGTTGTTCCAAAATCAGATCGGCAGAAACATGGAGGTGTATGTGGACGACATGATCGTCAAAAGCCGAACTGACCAGCGGCTCATACCCGACCTGAGGGAGATCCTGGACATCCTACAGGAAAGCCGGATGCGCCTAAATCCGAAGAAGTGCACCTTCGGGGTCAGATCAGGAAGGTTCCTGGGTTTCCTGGTGTCCCGGGAGGGAATCCGGGCCAACCCGGATAAGCTCCAGACCATCATGGATATGGCTCCCCCGAGGAACATAAAGGAGGTCTAACGGCTCACGGGGAGGATGGCAGCCCTGAGCAGGTTCCTCTCACGCTCCGCGGTCAGGGGGCTGCCCTTCTTCCGAGTCCTGAAAGCGCCTAAGGATTTCCACTGGACAGAGGAGTGCCAGAGAGCCTTCACCGACCTGAAGGCCTATCTGGCTGAGCTGCCCACTTTGACCGCCCCGGAGGTAGGAGAGACCCTGTTCCTTTACCTGTCCGCCTGCAGCGAGGCCATCAGCGCGGTCTTGGTGCGAGAGGACGGGGGGATTCAGAGACCAGTGTACTACGTTAGCCGCGCTCTGCAAGGGCCAGAGACGAGGTACACGCCCGCGGAAAAGCTGGTCCTTGCCTTGGTACACGCTGCTCGCAAGCTCTGCCCTTACTTCCAGGCCCTACAGCGTTGTAGTCCTGACCGACCAGCCTCTGCGTCAGATACTCACCAAGCCCGAGGTCTCGGGCAGGATAACCAAGTGGGCCGTCGAGTTGGCCGAGCATGACCTTAGCTATCGGCCCCGCACCGCGATCAAGGCTCAGGCCTTGGCAGACTTCCTTACTGAGGGGGCTAACTTAAACCTGACCGAGCTAGCCCCGACACTCACGGACACCCCGGTAGAGGAGCCGTGGGTGCTGTTCGTGGATGGCGCCTCGAGCAAGGAAGGAAGCGGGGCTGGCCTGCTGCTCACCTCGCCCACAGGGGAGGAACTGACCTATGCGCTTAGGTTCGATTTCCCGGCATCCAATAACGAGGCGGAGTACGAGGCCCTGTTGACGGGGTTGCGGATAGCCCACCAGATGGGCATCACCACGATCAAAGTCCAGAGTGACTCTCAGCTCGTCGTCCTCCAGGTCCGCGGGGAGTACGAGGCCAAGAACGAGGTTATGAAGAAATACCTGGCTAAGGTACGAGAGGTGGTGGCCTTGTTTGGAACATTTGAAATCGAGCGGGTGCCGAGGTCCCAGAACAAGCGGGCAGACGCCTTTTCAAAACTGGCGTCCTCCTCATTCGCCCACCTGAGCAAGGAAGTCTTGGTAGAGGTGGTAAAACAAAAAAGTATCGACCAGGTCCAGGTCCTGGCTATAGATAGCTCGGCCACCTGGATGACACCCCTTATAGACTTCCTCAGCTCGGATACCCTCCCCGAGAGCAAAATTGAGGCCCGCCGAATCCAGCTCAGAGCTGCCAAATACGCCTACGCTGGGGGAACCCTCTATAGGAGGTCATACTTGTCCCCCTGGCTAAAGTGCGTGACCCCGGAAGAGGGCGACTATTTACTCCGGGAAGTCCATGAAGGCCTATGTGCGGCACGTGTAGGATCTCGGGTATTGGCCAAAAAGTGCCTCCTCCTGGGCTACTACTGGCCCTCCGTCTTCCGAGATGCCGCAGATTTGATACAGAAATGCCGAACTTGCTAGGTGCACGCCTCGCTGCGCCATCAGCTAGCTCGGGAGATGATCCCCGTCCATAGTCCTTGGCCCTTCGCTCAATGGGGGATAGACCTCCTGGGTCCCTTCCCCCGAGCTCCGGGGAGGTATGAGCACCTTGTGGTTGCCATACACTACTTCACAAAGTGGGTGGAAGCGGAACCCTTGCTCTCTATATCCGGGAAGGCAATTCAGAGGTTCTTCTGCAGGAACATAGTTCGTCGTTTTGGGATCCCGCACGTCCTGATATCTGACAACGGGCGCCAATTTGCAGAGAACCCTTTCAAGAGCTGGTGCGCTGAGCTCGGGATCGACCAGCACTTCACGTTAGTCGACCACCCCCAGGCCAACGGCCAGGTGGAGAATGCCAACTGAACCATCCTCCAAGGACTGAAAACCAGGCTGGAGCTGGCCCAATCCAACTGGCTGGAAGAGCTCCCTAGCGTTCTCTGGGCTTACCGCACTACGCCCAGGACAGCCACCCATGAGACCCCGTTCTCCCTCACTTACGGGGTAGAAGCAGTGGTCCCTGCAGAGATCGGTCTCCCCTCGCCCCGAACACAGAACTTCGTGGCAACGTCCAACGACGAAAAGTTGCGGTGCAACTTAGACATGCTTGAGGTTAAGCGGGAGGAGGCAGCCATTCGGATGGCTAAGTACAAAAGCCAGCTCGCCCGCTACCACAACGCCCGAGTAAAGAGCACGCAGTTCCAGCCAGGAGACCTGGTCATGCGAAAGAACTCGATCAGCAGAGCTCACAGTTCCAACAAACTCGACCCAAATTGGGAGGGCCGGTTACTGCAAGGTCGCCGACATGAACGGATCTGAGGTACCCCGTACTTGGCACTTCTCCAACCTGCGCCTGTTTCTAGCGTAGGGTAGACCAGAATGTCCAGTTGTCTGTACTCTGGAATCAGAATTTTTTGGTTTTTTCATTCAATAAAAGTTTGCCTTTAGCGTTTACATTTCACTCGTCCCTGTCTCCTTTCCAAGCTAATAAAGTTCAAAATTCACTAGCACACTTAGCGTTTCTAACTGTTCTAGTGGGGGACTAGGGGTAGTAAGGACGATCAAGGTATAGTGTTCGGCCCAAGAGGTCGGCATGATCGAGGGAAACTCGGCCCAAGAGGTCGGCATGATCGAGGAAAAACGTGGAAACTTGGAAGGGTTCTGGGTTCTGAAAACTCCGTGCTCGGCCCAGGAGGTCGGCGGACAGGAGCTCGACGCCTGACGTGCTCGACCCCAAGAGGTCAGCATGGGTTAAAATCCTCCAAGGCTTCCAAGTCAGTGCTCGACCCAAGAGGTCGGCACGATTGGGGAACTTGGATGGAAGCTGATGCTCGACCCCAAGAGGTCGGCATGGGTTAAATCCTCCAAGGCTTCTAAGTCAGTGCTCGACCCAGGAGGTCGGCACGATTGAGAACTTGGATGGAAGCTGATGCTCGACCCCTAGAGGTCGGCACGACAGAATTGGGAGCAGGCAAGAAATGCAAAATAAGTCTCCTCAAGTTTTATATATGCATTCAAAGCCTATCTATTACAAGGCTTACAGAGTCTTTGAGCCGCCTATCTATTACAAAGCGCCCTGCCTATCTACCGCAGAATTTCCGAGTGGGCAATCTCCTTCGATGTCTGTTCTACCTGCTGGTGGCCCGATCGGGGTGGGAGCTGAAGGTGCACCTTAAACAGGCTGAGAGGCGTATGGTGAGGGCTATCCAATCGAACCTTCCCGTCTCAGAGGGACCCCCAAGAGCATTTTCAACTGGAGCATGGTCACATCCTTATAAGAAGACGGAAAGGACTTCTGGAGTGGTCGCCGCCCTAGACCACCGCCTCCTTCCAGGCAGCTCTGCCAGGAGACTCGCCCTCCTCCAAGGGAACCTCCTCCAGCACGGCCCCGGTGTCGGTCTTGCCCGCCAACTCCTTCAGGGAATGCCCCTTGCGATACCCGTCGAAGAGCTAGTCCAACCTCGCCTCGGCCGCAGGGTTGTAATCCTTGAAGCTCGCCAAGTCGAGGCCGGGAGGGTTGAGTTTCTTCACCTGGTCCAGGGCCCGGGTGCAGCCGACCTGGAGGATGGGCAGGTTGAGGTGAGCGATGTCTTCCTCAAACTGATCGGAAGTAAGGAACTCCCGAACAGCCTTCTTCCGCTCCCGGCTGACGGTGCCGGAGAGCTCGATGGCGTGCTCCTCCTTCAGCTTGGCCACGTCGGCCCTCTCCTGGTCGAGTTCTGACCTGGTGGAGGCGAGATGGACCTGAGCGGTGTCCAACTCCTTCTCAGCCTTGCCCAGTTTGGCCTTAAGAGAGCTTGTCTCCTTAAGGGCCTGGGACAGCTTCTTCTCCGCCTCCAGGTTCTTCTTCCGTAACTTCTCCAGGTCGGGAGACAGTTCGGAGAAGCGGGTAGCCAGGGCGGCACCGGCCGCGTTGGACTGAAAAGGAAAGAAAGCGGATCAGCACGCCACATCACTTAACCCAGACACGGGGGCGAAATTAACCCACGGGCGACACTTACTTGGGCCTGGGCGGTGTAGTACGCGTCCAAGAGCTCGGAGGGGCTGGCCAGCTCCATTCACCTCCTGTCCCGAGAAAGGACCGAGCCCACCATCAGCTCGCGAGCCACCTCGGGGAACTGGGCTCGGTCGTTGATGGAGAGTTCCCAGGCCGGACAGAAGTGGCGGGGGTCGTGCATCGTGGGGGCTTGGCCCGGCTTCAAGGGAGCCACGTGGCGGAAGTGCCACAAGCTCGGGGGAATTGACTCCTGGGCATGCTCCTCGGCAGAGCCCACGCCTAGGTGGACCGGCCCCCCGGAGACCAGCGCACGAGGAGGGGGTTGCACGGGGACCAGCGCGAGCTTCTTCTGCCCGACCTGGGAGGGCTCGTCCCCTCTGCCCCTCTTCTGCCCTGCCGCCTTCTTCTTGTTGACGGCCTGCTTGGAGGGGGACGGCTGCGATGCCTCCTTCTAGGGGGCTGAGCCGCCCCCCGGGGTGGAAGCCCCTCCTGGGGCCCCCTGAGCAGCCTCGGGCATGGGAGGCGGGGGTGACCTCCTCAGTAGCAGCGCCCAGCAGCTGGGAGATCTTCCTCACTGAAACGGACACAACCAGATAAGCCAAGCGCAATGCAGTTTAAAAAAAAATCAAACCAAAATATACTACAAATGTGACAGGGGCAAAGCCAGCGTTACAGGTATTGGGTTTGGGCTTAGGGGTTGCCACTTCCCCAGAGGATCCGGACAACGTCCCCATCAGCCCGGCTGCGGAGAGCTGCTCAGTAGAGATCCGGGTGACATCGAGCTTCACCTTGGAGCCCAACAGCTGGCCGAGGGTATCGTAGTCCAGGTCCCCCGGATAGGAGTCGGCCTTGACTCCCCCAACCTTCCACACATTGGGGGGAAAATGTGTGGATCTGACAAAAAAGAAGTTCTCTTTCCAGTCCTTCACGGAGGAGGGGAGGCCGTAGAACAACTCCTGGGCCCCTTTTCCTCCCTTGGTCTGGGGGCCACGGCGGGAGAAGCAGTACCACCCCGGGAGGGCGGTTTTAAGGATGAAGGCAGCTCGGAAGAGGGAGAGGGAGTAGGGGATGTCACAGAGAAGGCAGTAGATCACGAATCCAATAATAATCCTGATAGAGGTGGGGTGAAGCTGGGTGATTCTGATCCCCCAGTAGTTCAGAATCTCGGCAAGGGCTGAAGGGATGGGGAGGCGGAGCCCTGCGATGAGCTGCTCCCTATAGATGGCTACGAAGGAGGTCCGCAGGCTCGGTCGTCAGGCCCGGCCGCCCTCGGCTCGTAGGCTGGAGGGATGGAGTAAGATTTGGCCAGCTCGGCCACTGCCTTGGAGGATAGGGTGGCCTCCTGCAGGTCGACATGACCGTAGGAGAACTCGGGGTCATCCCCCTGCTCTGAAGCAGGGGTCCCCTCAGAGGCATCCCTATCCTCCCCGGCTCCCCCTCGGGCTCCGCCGGGGGAGTCGTGTGGAGACCTGGGGGGAGAGGCGGAGGTAGCCTGCCGCGCGATGAGGGCATCGAGCTCGGCCCCCTCCTCAATGGCGCGGGCAGAAGGAGACTGGGATGAAGGAGACTGGGGTGAAGGAGAACTCATAATGACTATAGGGTCAAGGAGGTCGGGGTTAGAAGCGGAAGAGGAAGCAGGGGGAGGTGGAGAAGGCGACGACGAGGGCGAAGATGAGGAAGAAATGAAGATTCTGGTGGCTCTGCGACGGACCGGAGACGGGGAGGCGGTGGAAGTGACGTCGGAGTGACCCGACATAAAAGAGATGGTAGAAGCAGGAAGGAACACTGAAGGAAAAGGGAAGATGAATCGCAAAAAGGGACTTACTGATGATGATCAAGGCAGAAGAAGGATGGAAGACTCGCCGGAATCTGGGCATGAGACGCTGGAAGTTGCTGGGAAATGGAAATGCGAATGTGCAAGGAGAATGGTAATGCAAGATGCACAAGGGGAGGAAAAATGGCAAATGGAGTTGATGGGAATCTGATGACCCCTATTTATGAGGAGGGGAAATGGGGGGGAACGGTTGCGTGAATTCGAACCGACCCCCATGTGAACGCATTTAATGCCGGTACGGAAACCGAAGAAGAGTGACAACTGAAAGGACGTGGGCGCAGCGTCCCTGTAACAGCACTGTACTCGAGGTGACCTCGGCAGGGTAGTGCGCGGCTCTGGCCTTCTACGTGGCGGATGTAGATTAGGTCTGCCTGACAGTCCTACCTAATCTAGGGGGCTAGTGCAGAGGCCCTGTTCTGGCCCTAAACACGTGGCAACTCAGACGGGGCCGAGCTGGGCCTCGGCCTCAGGTCCCTGGCAGCAGCCCTGGGCCGCCCTGTTAGGGCTCGTAAAGGAGGCAAGAGTCCGTCCCGAGGAGGTCGGGGATAATCCCCCTGAGTGTGGGATGCTGGCTATTCTGGGCAAGTCCCGAAACGTATGGAAGCCGGACTCTCTCGACAGGTATAAGTACCAACGGACATCAACTGTACAAGGTACGCTCACTATTGGCAATTTACTCCGAACTGTCACTACTTCCCGTGAACCTTACTCACCGGAAAACTAACTTGGCCGTCGGAGTGCCCCCGGGGACCACCCTCGGGCCCCCCTCTGTCAGCTCGTTCTTATCTGTTTTGCAGGCTTAGGACCAGCTCTTCCATCAGCACACCGAGCTCGTCAGTTCGGCTCGGTCCGGGGAAGCTCAGCGCTTCTTCAGTTGGTACCAGGACTTCAACCCCAAGTCCCTTATACACAAGGACCAGGGTTCGAATCCTGGGGAGGCCCCCCTCCACGCACCTGATGCTGGGGCGGACAAATACACAATTGACCTCCACGGGGGAAGCTTCCGAGCTTCTTCAGTCGTCTTTCTCTTTTTTTCTTAGTTTCCCGTCAGCCACCACAGCCTTTTTCTTCCTTCGCCTCCTCTCCCTAGCTTTCTTTCTCTCACTCTATCTCTCACTCTCTTCTTCTAACCCCACCCGCCAGCCTTCTTTTCCTCTTGTCCTAGTAAGCTCTCTCGGATCCTCTCTTCTTGCTTTGATGAGCCAAAACCCTTTCCCCCTTTGCCTAGCTCTCCTGGTTCTTTTCCCAGATTCCCTCAGCTTTTTTCTTGCCCCTTCTTCAGCTTTCCCGTAGCTAATCCCCTTAGCCGCCACTCTTCTATCCTCTCTACTTCTATTTTTTTTTTCTTCAGCTCCCAAAGACAACCCTGTTTTTCCCTTCCTTTCTCCTCAGCCGAGAGCTATCTCTCGGTTCTCTCTATCTCTCACCCTAACTCCCACTCTCAGCTCTCTCAACGTCTAGCCACCCTTTCCTTTCTTTTTCTTTTGT